CTGTAGTATTCCATAGGTCAGAAAGACAATTAAAGAGCTGTTCCCTTGTGTCAAACTGCCTTTGTTGACGAAGAAGTCCTCGTCCCATTGATCCCACAAATGTTCAATGGGATTAAGCTCTGGTGACTACGCAGGCCATGGCAAAACATTGATATACTCAGTTTCTAGAAATTCACGCACAAGCCGTGCTGTGTGTGGACGAGCATTGTCGTGCATTAGTTGGAAATTTGGACCAAATTCTGCAGCATATGGAAGCAGAACAGGTTCCAAAATACTATCACGATAACTGGTAGCATTCAAAAAGCCGTCTAATAAAACGAGGTCAGTCCTTCCTCCGACACGCATACCCCCACACCATTATTGTACTACCCTGGTAGCTGTAGGCTTCCTGGGCTGCGGCAAGACGTTCCAGATTTCCAGGTCGTCTCCACACACGAAGTCGACGTGAATCCGGATGAAAACCGAATCGGGATTCGTCTGTAAAAAGTACCGTAGACCATTCTTGATGTCCCCAGTGTTGTTGTTTTTGTGCCCATCGTAGTCTTTGTACGCGATTGCCTTAACGGGGGAACACGGAGCGGTCTGCGAGCATAAAGGTTGAACTGGTGCAACCTGTTTCTCACAGTCTGGCTGCTCACAACATTATGGCAGGCCCATGACACTCCCTGGGCGGGAAAAAGACGCGCAGCTTTTACTGCGCTGACGTTTTCGGGATATAACCTATCACTTGTCATAAATCCGGTTAAAAACTCGCTACCATGCGCAGGCAACCCATATTTCGTACACAAATATAAACTTTTTGTTTACATTTTATCGAAGTAGTTTTTGTAATACATTCACAGCTTAAAAACGGAAAATTTGTTATTTTGATAGTGGATTTAGATCAAAAATACCCCAAATACACTTCAGTGTGTGTTTTATCCTTATTATTGCTCGTTTTATTTGAGGACATTGGAATAAATAGAGTACTAAAAGTAATCAAGCTAAAAAGGTGTGTTATAAAAAGAAAATACATTGCCTTCGACTGATTTATGTTTAATATGTTTTCGTGAAGTATTTCCAAAATGCTAGTTACTTGAATGGTTGTAAATTGTACGTGTATAAGTGATAAAAACATCTAGTGCTTTGTGCTTCCTTTTTTTCTGTTGGTGTCCCAGCCCAGCATTTCTAGCCAGCAGTAGTAGCAAAAACATTAACATTGTCTACATTCAACCCATTTACATGTACATGATTTATCAGCTAAAAGCAGAATACAATATTTCTCTGCAAAATGTAAACAATGCTACAAAGAAAATTGCTCATGTATAAATTCAACAATTAAATCAAAATATATTATTTTTAAAGGACTTATATCAACTATTATGTTAATTATAAATATTATAAGTATTTGTAACAAAATAATAGTTGTGTATTAATAAACCTGTTGCTACTCCAAAAAATATATTATTTATTGATTATCAGGTATCAAAAATATGTGTACCTATAGACATTTGTTGAAATGTTCTATTGCTCTTAATCTTTTTAATGGGTTCTTATTATAGCTGTAAATAAAAATCAACACTTTTTATCCGTCTATTTAACACTTACAAACGTATGCATATTTTAAGTTGTAAGGATCCATAGCCTCTTAATGTTTTACATTAGAAATAAGACCTGTGATGTCACATTAAATCGTTAATATGAGGTAAAGGATTTGGGAGTTGTCTTTCAGTCTAATTTGAAGTTCAATAACCATTTTTTACACATAACTAAAAAAGCAATAAAAGCATTAGGTTTTTAAATCAGAAATACAAAAAAATTTAGGATTACCACCAAAATCAGATTATATAATGCCTTAGTAAGACTCCATCTTGAGTATGTTTCACAAATATGGATGCCCTTGGAAGCCACACAAATTGATCATATTGAAAAAGTACAAAAAATATTTGTACGGTACCTTTATGTCATAAAAAATACTTGTACCCTTATACCTAAGATCTCATATAAAACTATGCTCAATAGTTTTAAGATTAAATCTCTTTTACAAAGAAGAAAGCAACAGGCTGTGATATATTTTGTACTCTATTTTAAGTACAAAGATTGTGAATTGATTGACTATATAAATGTTAATGCGGCAAAGATTAATCTAAGAAACCCAAGTAACAATAAATTATTTGATTTAGATCCAGTATATCTCTTTTTAACAAGATGATGGCTGTTACCAATGAGTTTCTTAGCGAGATCCAAATAGATATCTTTAATGTTAGCCTAAGAAAGTTGAGGACTGTACTAAATTAAGTTCACTAGATATAAAGGTTTGTTTTGTTTTTGGTCTTAAATTTCTTTTTACTTAACTCTACATGTAACTACTATTAATTTTTTTATAGTATCCAATACATAAATTATACCTTATGGTTGCTTTCAAACAATTCTGTGTGTAGTCACTTAGTTTAAAGTAAATTTTAAATTAGTGGTTTTACAAGAATGTCAAATAGTAATATGTATTGTGTCTATGAATTTGCTGTGTGTAGTAAATGGCCAATATATATAACTTTGATATTTTTATCACAAGTGTAAAAACTACGAAAACCATATGCATATAGTTCCCATTTTAAAATAAATTCAAATTAATTCATAATAAAAAATAACGATTTTAGTCTGCCATACTTAAACTCATTCACAAAAACAAGTCACTGAGTATATATTTGTAAAAAAACTACACTAAATATGTCTCCGTTACAAATTTTTAAATTTAAAACTACATACTTTCCTATAGATTTTGCAGTACCTAAATAACGTATAGAATAAATTTTTACAATATACTAGAAAAGTTTTAGATTAGAGTAATTCTTAAGAAATAAAGCAATACCTCTATTTTGTTACTCTAACCTTGTGTGTTATATATTTCCCTTGACAAACTAACGTTATATTTTGAACTAAAAGTAATTAAACTTTTCACCAAAAAGTGATATTTCACATATATAAAAAAATTTAAAACGGTTCTGTCCTTCTTACATTTGCGAAGACTGCCCTGATATCTAATCTATTTTCTTCTTCAAAGTAATTAAGTTGTTCAACCGTTGTCTATTAAGGTATCTCATATCTCCCTCATACACACGAATTTGAAAAGCAACAGAACAAAAATTCAACTAACCATGTATACCAAGTCCGTGTAAAGAAAACTTTTCATATCCCGAAAACGTCAAGTGTCAACTAAAATTTCTACTTTTAAAGATCAAACGTGCCGCCTCAGAGTGCCAATACTGATTGGTATATATACTGGGATTATGGTGTGTGCGGTATAACTGATTTGCTAACTGACCTGCTGTGACAGTTCGATCTCGTAGTGCCTGTAATCGAATAAAACGATCATGTAAAGGGTCAGTTGCTCTTGTACGACCAGTATGTCGTTCTCTAACATCCCCGGTCTCACGGTATCTTGTCATCAATCGACAAATCACACTAGCTGATGTGTTAAGGACCTCCGCTACTGCTTTATAATTTTGGCCCCCTTCAACCATCCCTACTTCTCGCAATTGTTCGTCGCGGTTTAAATGTCGTCTTTCCATCATGAATAACTAAACTAAACACTAATTCGAATACTAAAAATCTCGTTTTGTCCTTCGTAGAAGCAAAAACCAAAAGAAACTAATACGCTATTTTTATCGATAAAAGACAAATATTTTTTACGCACATTTTATCAATTGCTAAACCTTTAAAATCATGTACATTGTAAACAAAAAGGTATCAAAAATATCTACAGAAATTTTCAATATAATACCCGGTGTCTCAAAAAAGTTATAACAATTTGAATTCTTGTTCCCAAGATTTTTTTGTATAAACCAAAACCAGCTAACAAAACAAATGCAAAAAAAATTTAAAAAACAAAGAAAAAATACCTTGTACCTTGTGAAAAGTTACACTTAATAGTGACACAGAAGACGAATATAATAAGAATATAGGATGTGATTTTTGCGATAAGTGGTTTCACAAAAACTGCACAGAATTTTATGATACACCTTATAGTATTGTTCCTGCCAAAGACTACAAGTGCGATATGTGCGAAGTTTCATTTTAGTTATTTAATACAGGAGCCAAAAATTTTATCTTTGATTACCTGCATTATTTTAAAATAAAACTTTCTGTTATGTACCTATATAACTACACAGTACCTGTTTATTTTTGATTGATCTCTTTAAACTGTTGTTCTATTGTAACTAGTGCAATTATTCAGTTTTTGTTTTAGTTATTAGGAACTACTCAGTTTAGTTTTTGCTTCATTAATAGATATAAAATTACTATAGTATGTACTAAGTTATATTTAAAATATCTTAGTATACCTAAATATAGGTACCTATGTAAGTTTCTCCATTTGTAACTTTAAACAACAAATTTTGCAATTAGGTGATTTTTCTGTAAAAATAATAGTTTTTGAAGATTAACGCCACGAATGTATGGGATACAATCTATTAACCGAATTAAAAAATTTACAAGTTTAATTAATTTAATTAATTTTTTTATTAACTTAAAATATTAGATTTTTTGAGTGGCTAAGAACTGTGAGGGGTGGCTGAGAACTAACAAAAATGCACTTTTTTAGAGTAATTGACGTATCTTGTTAAAAAATGTTTGTCATTTTTTAACAGTGCTAAAAATGTTTTATATGTTTATTTTGCTTTTTGGGATTACTTTATAGATATTTGGTTACCTTGAAAGTTACCACTCATAGTGGCCAGGAGTTGTAAAATTAACTCCGAATTGTTAATTTGAATACAAGATTCGGACTGCTGGCCAAATTGGCAAGGTAGTGCGTAGGACACGAATACAAGGGTATTAACAACAGTAGCTAAAGACCTATCAATAGTTACAAATGGTCTTTAGACTAGTTGGTTGTTACATTTCTAAGGGGATGAAGTCTATTGGTTTTAAAAAAATATGAATAAAAATGAGTGGTTAAGGGAGGCGGGGGGGGGGTATGTTAAACTGTGAAGAGTATAATATAGTTTTGTTTATATTTTTAGGAGATGCCCGTTTCAGTGACAGAATCTATACTTTTAGATGTTTTTTACTCTTTCCGTACACGTAAAATTAATTGTCATGTTTACATGAGATTAATGAATCGTGTAAAGAAAGTAGATAGAGGAAAATGGATATATTTTCACTCTATGCTCGAACACCTTAAAGATCATTTAATCTGTCAAAATCACAAGAATGAAGCTAGTATTTTATGGGTAATTATATAATATACAAATGTTATTAAGTAATAAAAAATGTGTACAATAGCGAACTTTTTTACAGAAATTTTTCCAAAGGAGATTAGAAGAAACAGGATATGGAAGACGTGCTCCATTTATTGAGGCTGAATGTAATAGTAGTAAGTTTTGGTTTCTTTCTCGTAAAATATTTTTTTTATATAAAACAAAACACGCAGTCGGACAATAACCGGAAATATATCAATCATAAAGGGCAAATTTACTGGTGCACACAAGTAAGGTATGGTAGCACAAACTACAAAACGTAAAAGTAATACGAATATATTGTAACGTCTGTTTAATTAAAAACAGTTTATTTATAATTTATTTAAAACTTAGCCACTATTACAACACAACTCACAATTCTAATTTTTTATTACTATTTATCGTTTCTATACGACACTTAAATTAAAATTTCCCGTCCATCGACACACTCGCGCTATTTATGTAAAGCCATCTGACTAGCGCTAGACTTCATACCGCGGGAAAAGAACAGAGTCCGCTTCGCGTTACATTGCCCCCTCCTTGAGAAATAGTTCCTCCTGGATCTAAAATTGAATGATATTGTATCTGCAACTGGACCCACTTTTACAATTTCAATTTGTATGAAAATAACAAGGGACGTTTTTGCTGAAACCTGGACAATAGGCGAATGGCTGCAGACCAGTATTTGGACCTCTAAATGTTTGAAGATTATTTCCACCATGTTTCAAATGACCCTCCAATTTAGCTGGTGCTCTCTATCTTGGGCATGGCTAGTTTCTGTACATTGGACTCCAGTGTACGTTCTCCCTCAGACTAAGTAATGCCTCTCCTACATTATGATAAGTGAATCTCGATCTCAGAAAGTGTTCTTTCCCACATAACATCAATGTTCTACGAATATACTAAGAACGTTCTGTTTATGTTCTTTTTAGTATGTCCTATTTAGAATGTTCTTAGAACATACCTAGTATATACTTTGAAAGTATATTCTAGAACGTATATGCTGAGTACGTGCCTTAAAAGTATATTCCAAAAAGTATATACTGAGCACGTGCTAGAACAGAACATTCTAAGAAGATACCAAAAGTCATATACCCAGCATGTACCTCATATTCTGAGAATGTTCTAAATGCTTGCAGGTAAAAATTAACACCAAATACATGTAAAAATCGTTTATATACATATCTATATGAATATATAAATTTTTCCCAGAGGCCGATCTATTAATTCATTAGTAAACGCACTAATGTTTAGGCCAACAACAACCTTAATAAAAGATAAGAAGAAGAAGAATAACATAACCTACAATTCCTACAAATTCGTTTCAGTAAGTAAATTAGTAAAAATTAATTGCATCGTGTGTTCTATATAAAAATAAACAAATTTTACAATATTTGTAGTTTTTAGGACCTATAAGTGATGTTAGAACACAGGATATCCCAAATAGTAATTGCCAGTGTGAATTTATTAATATGGTTAATGCTAATGGCGGATTGAAACTAAAATTAAGTGTTACCAGAATTACATACACACTTTTTATGAAAAAAATCCTGTAAGGCCAGAAATTAACCTGGAAGAACTAGAAAATTAGCTAAAGGAGGAGGAAAACTACAAAATGGTGGTAAGTAATTTACAAAAATGTATTTAAACTTTCACTAAACATAATAATCATTTATGTAACTCTTGTTTTTGTTAGTGAAATGCCATGTATAATTTTTAATGTTTCACGTTCGACAAAAATATTCCATTAGCTATGTACAGTTAATTTGTATATGTACCAAGTTTGTTGATTTTTTTTATTTTTTAGATTGAATCAAGATCCAATGGAATCAAGCAAATGAAACTCAAGCAATTGATACAATGAAATATTGGTTGGTTAAGGCCAAAGAAAGAATTTGTATTAAAAATAAGAATAAGTATGAATTTTTTTGAAATAAAGATTTCATTATATACACTTATTCTTTATTGTTCAATATTAATGAAACATCCTGTATTAGGGTGTCCAGTATATGCCTAGCATATGCTATATTTAAATACTAAGCATATACTCAGAACGTACTATCAAATTAAAGTAGATACCTATTGCATACTGTACACATACTCAAGTACATTCTCAGCATCTGCATAGCACGTATAAACAACGTCACGTAGCATATTCTTGGTATATTCTGAGAATGTTCCAAATGCAAATAAAGTATATTCTCAGCATATGTACATTCTTAAAAATCATATACTGAGAATATGCTAAGAATGCATGATTGTTATCTGGGTTGTTACCAAATAGAAAAGGTAACGCGACCCATCTTGGAGTTTTAAGGTTTTTCCAGGGGCTGGTAACTGACCATGAAGTTCTGGCAATCAATCAAACTTCCTCTGAAACACAGATGGGTGGCGTTACCTTTTCTCTTTGGTAAAAAAGAACACTTTCTGATATCCACTTATCATGATGTATGGGAGGCATGACAGTCTGAGGGAGCTACTGGAGTCCAATGTACAGAAACTAGCCATGCCCAAGATAGAGAACAACCAGCTAAATTGGAGGGTCATTAGATACATGGTAGAAATAATCTTCAAACATTCCGAGGTTCAAATACTGGTCTGCAACCATCAAGACGAATTTTCGGGGGGAGGAGGGCTTGCCTTTAGATCAGCGGTTCTCAAACTTTTTTGAAATGCGAAATATTTGACGGAGCCTCAAAAAAGTCCTCCGAGTAAAATTCTCCTTGCTCTAGCATGTCCATCCTGTTTCTTTGTGGAGCCCCTAAAACAAAATTCTCAAAATCATATCATCCTTCCACTGACCTTAAAAAAAGTCCTCATACCAAAATTATATACTCCTTCCTCTTCCTGACATCTAAAAAAAAAAGGTCCCAACCAAAATAGTATACTCCTTCCTCTTACTGACATCTTATAAAGAAACAAAAAAAAGTCCTTAAGCCAAGTCCCGTTGTAGCGGTAGGTACTGCTTTTTTGTTTCTTCGCGGCTTTACGGAGCCCCGGGGCTCCGCGGATCACACTTTGAGTAACGTTGCTTTAGATATTCCCTTTTTAGCATATTTTTTGGAATAAAATACTCATAAATCGTAAGAATTTTCTTCTCGGGAGGGCCATGGCCCCTATGCCCCCCCCCCCTCCTGGAGCCAACCTATGGCAGCCATTCACCTAGTGTCCAGGTTTGCAAAAATCGTCCCTAGTTATTTCCACGAGTGGAAATTGTAAAAGTGGGTCCAATTGCAGATACAATCATTCAGTTTTAGTTCCAGGGGGAACTATTTCTTAAGGAGGGAGCAATGTGACGAGAAGCTGACTCTGTTATTTACCTGCGCTATAAAGTCTAGCGCTAGCCATGCAGAAGCTACCGGTTAGATCGCTGTGTGGCGCCTGAGTCATAGAAAAGGAGTTCCCGAACGTTTCGGATCACATATTCTTCACCGACTACGTCTTCTCCAGGTCAACATCCAAACTCGAGGTCACACGGTAATCTTATCTCACGCCCAAACAGCACCTTTGCTGGTGTTTGGCATGTAGATTCATTGACAGCGGATCTATATGTCATTGCGAAAAGCGAAAGATACTTATCCCAATCTCGCTGATGATTGGAAACTACTTTTGATAGGTATTTGCCAATGGTCTTATTCATTCGCTCTACCATTCCATCTGACTATAGGTGCAATGCTGTAGTTGTGGTTTTCTTCATGCCTAGTCTGTCATAGATTCCTCTGAAGAGCTGGCTTTCAAAATGTCTGCCTCGGTCACTGTGGATCTCCAAAGGCACTCCAAATCTACTGATGAATTGTTTTATTAACACGTCTGCAACAGTTGCGGCCTCTTGATTTGGAATGGCGTAGACTTCCACACACTTCATGAAATAATCCATAACCACCATCATGTATTTATTACCATTCTCGGTCATGGGGAATGGTTCAGCAATATCTAAGGCAATCCTCTCAAATGGGCTACCGACGTTGTACTGCTTCGTGGAGGGGCTTCCTTTTTCATTGGGGTCCGTTAGTCATAGCACAGGAGGTACATTTCTTACACCAGTCCTTTACATCATTGGAACTGTTCATCCAATAAAACCTTTCACGAATTCTCTGAAGGGTTTTCGTAACATCAAGATGTCCTCCTGATGGACTGTTGTGTAACTGATGAAGAACTTCGGTTACTCTAGTCTTTGGAATGACCAACTGTCTTCTGTTTTTGGAACAATCATCATTCTCTAGTACCCGCTTTAATAAGCCTTCTTCTAGAATATGACTTGACTACTGGAGAGAGTTTTGATACTTCTTGCCAAGTAGGTAGACGATTTTCATTTTTACATTGTCGCATCTTCTTTAAAACGGGATGGTTCTCTTGTTCTTCCCTAAGTTTGGCAGGAGGCCACTCATCGTTGACTACAATTGTTCTTAGTAGTCCACTTTCCTTGGATTCTGCACTGTTGCAGTGAGAGCACTCTGCTGGTCACGGCTTTCTAGAAAGAGAATCGGCATTTCTGTGGCTTACTCCGACTCTAAGAACGATTTTAAAGTCGTACTCCTAAAGTCGTTCAATCCATCTGGCTATTTGGCCTTCCGGGTTTTTGAACTGCATCAAACACTTAAGGGCTATATGATCGGTATGGTTTAAGAATTTCTTTCCATATAGGTATTGGTAGAAGTGTTCTACGCATTTCACAACTGCCAGGAGTTCTCTTCTCGTGACGCAGTAATTTCGCTCAGGTTTCGAGAGCACTTTACTAAAATAACCCAGTACACTTTCTTTCCCCACTTTAATCTGTAAAAGCACTCCTCCAATTCCCACATTACTGGCATCATTATCCAGAATAAATTTTCTCTCTGGTAGTGGGTGTTGTATATTTGCTTTCGGGACTGGTACTAAAACACCTTTGCTGGAACGATCACTTTCCCATACAGTACAAATACATTTCGGAAATATATCAAAAATATTACATTGAAACATTTGTAATGTTGTATAAATATTACGAAACATCCTAGAAACATTTCTGAAATGTGCCTGAAACGTAAAAAGTCCTGTAAATATAATATTTCACAGTCATATTTCTAAAATTAAAAATTTGAAATCTTTTAGAAATATTAAATAGTAATATTTCAGAAATGTAATCTAGTTTTTTTTCTAAAATATTATTAGACTAAAAAAAGACATTTTAAAATGTAGATATTTATTTAAAATACACAAAACTCAAACATTGATTCTTAAACAAACAAATAATGTTTAAACATTATTTCATAAAATATAAAGGCGAATCGCTTTATTTCCACAAATTCCTTTAAATGCACTAATCTGAAACAAATAGTGTTTTTTTAACAAATACCCCAAGTAAATAAATCAGAAATTCTTCATTAAGTGTTGGGCTTTTACAACATAATCCTTTTAGTAACTTTTTGTATAACATGTATACCATGTTTCAGAAACATTTTCAGTAAAATATGTAACTAGAATATTTCAGAAACTTGTGCTTGAAATATTATGTGTTTGAAATATTTCTGAAACACTTCTGAAATAATGTGTGCTGTATGGGTTATTAAGGATTTTACCAAATACAAACTTTATTATATTAAACTGTGTAACGGAGACAAATCTGGCGTTGCTCACATGTCTGACTTAACCTCTTATATCAATGTTACCAACTGACTTTTAGGTGCGTTCGATTGTCTCGATAAGTATTTATTCTTTATTACAACAGTGGGTAGCCTAGTATTGGTGCTGTTGTTAAATGCTTCTTTAATGTTTCAAAGGTAATCTTCGTCCCAGCAGAATTCTCTCGCTTATTCTGTGAGTCGTGTTAATGGCTTAGCAATATCTGCGAACTTCCTTATACATCTTCCGTAGTACGTACAAAGTCCAAGAAAACTTCTTACTTGATGTTTATCAGTTGGTTTTGACCATTGTTTGATTGAAGCGACTTTCTCCATATCTACAGCCACGCCATCCATGCTAACTATGCCCAGGTAATTAACTTTATTTTGAAATAGCTGGCATTTCTTGGGGTTTAGCATCAATTGAGGGGCAGCTTACAGTCTTTTAAGTTCTTTAAATGTTCATCAAAGATCTTCCCCAAGACTATGATGTCGTCTAAATACACCAGGCATGTTTTCCAGGAATACCCTCTCAATACGTTTTCCGTAAGTCTTTCAAATGTCGCGGGGCATCACATAGTCCAAATGGCATGCCTTTGAATTGCCACAATCCATCTCCGGTGGTAAAAGCTGTATTTTCTTTGTCTACTGGGTCCATTTTTACCTGGCAATATCCAGACTTTAAGTCTAAGGTAGAAAATAGTTTACTTCCGGCCAATGTATCCAAGGTATCGTCGATTCGAGGCAAAGGATAACTACCTTTCTTGGTAACATTGTTCAACTGACGGTAATCCACACAGAACCTCGTACTTCCATCCTTTTTCTGGACCAGGACTACCGGAAGAGACCCATGGGCTGGTAGAAGATTCTAGCACCCTATCTTCCTCCAGTTTATGAACAATCCTTTCATCTTTTTCTCTCTTGGCCTTTGGTAATATTCGAGCTGATTGACGAATCGGCCTGACCTCACCAGTGTCAGTTTTCTGTTTTACAACAGAAGTTCTTCCTATTTGGAATAAAAATGTCACAATATCGTCCAAGAAATTCCTTTATTTTCTTTTTCTCTAATTGATTCAAAGATTGACCAGCAATTGCAATCATTTGCTCGAATTTGTCGTTGGAATTATCAGAGGCCCGCTCGGCACCAGAACACTCTCGGCGATTCAGAACGTTCGGGAACTCACTCTCTATGACTCAGACGCCATACAGCGATCTATCCGGTAGCTTCTAGAAACAGAGCGTTTGTCTCTACATGGCTTCTCGTCACAATATTTCATATCCATTCTACCTAGTAAAAACACTGCAAAAAATTAAATACACCCATGACAGTTCATATTTTGATCACCTGGCCACTATTATTTTTTAATTTTTAAACAACAATTTTGTCAAACTAATTTTCAGTATATTTTTTAGTTGTCGAGATTAAATATACTTTAAAATGATTTATTCTTGTGAAGAATCGGTAAATAACAGCATTTACAGAAACGTTTGGGATCCTGCTTGGTGTGGCCAACACATGGTTCTTACATTTGTGCAAATTGAATGATCCACAAAACATGTTTCTAATAAGGCTGGTAACCGTGACCGGTTAACCGGTTCCGTAGGATCAAAAACCGTTAAAGAACGTAACCGATTTAACCGTAACCTATGTAACTCTAATCAAACCGGTTAAACTTGTCACTTGTTGACCGTAACTGGTTTAACAGTACCCGAAACCAGTTTTAGCGAGACGGTGAACGTAAATAAACAAGTATAGTTTGAGCTCTTAGTAGGGATGCGCATATTTCTTAAAACGTCGATACTGACATCGAATGATATACCAAAAACAAAGTATCGATGGCATTAAAGTTACCGAAGTGAAAAAAATGATATTTATGAACATCGACGTTTTTAAAACTTATACATTTAAAAGTAGGTAAAACAAAATGAGACTGTATTTATTTTATAAAAAATTACAAACAAATATAAACATTCCAAATGTAATAATAAAACTAAGCAAAACTAAGAAAATCCTTATTTTTTAATAAAATTACATCACAGTTATCCAAAATGTGCTTCAAAACTTTTTCATTGACTATTAGAGGGCGCATTTGTGCGATAAAAATTTATGTGTTTTTTAATTGTGACCGATTTAAATAAAGATACAATATGCTGAAGAATGGAAAATATCGGATAAAACATCGATGTCGATCGATGTTATTAAAAAAAACCGACGAAAATTGAAACACCGAACGCCGCTTCGAAAGCCAAATATCGATGTTTTTCAAACATGACGTATCGTGCGCATCCCTAGCTCTTAGTTACGCCTCTCGATACCAGAGGGTGTAGAAGAACTTCCTGGTTCTGGCCCATATTTTTAGGTCAGTTCTATTAGAATTAGAAAGTCTCACACTGCTACACCCAAGTTACAGTTAAAATTTAAAAATAATAATACTTGCTATTGTTTAAAATGTCAGAAATATGGAACTATTATTCTAAAGACGATTTAAAGCAAAACGCAATTTTCAACATTTGCAAAAACTCTTTCAAATATTCTGGAAGTACTAGTACTCTTTGGAGCCACCTGACAAGCCCAGTTTCAGAAGAATTTGACAAACGATTTCATTTAAAGGATACCTTGACGAATAAGTTTGAAAACATTTCAACTGCGGACTTTGCAACCTATCTTGGCCCCAGATATAAAAATATTGAAAGAAAAATGGGCTTTCGGTTGAAACAAATTAGAACAATGTCTGAGGAAATGGATGAGATGACAACTGATTCTGAATCTGAAGCTAACAAGAAATCGGAAATAAACATTTTATTTCCAGGAGATTCTGGACCTAGTAATTTTTTTTGGAAGTGGAGGAATACAATTCTCAGATATTATTACGAAAGATTCAAAATCCATTAACTTGGTGGAAAAACAACACGAATAAATTCCCGTTATTTGGGGTCTATTCTGTAACAATTCCTTTATATTTAACAGTCTTTAAAAATATTTTCTTCTTTACTTCTGTCATTATTTAAACGGATCTTTAAAATACATTAGAGGACTATCTTAAAGAAATCTGTTTAAACAATGACAGAAATAAATTAACGAATACAAATATACTTTTAAAGGCCGCCAATATTTTTAAAGGCCGTTAAACATAAAGGAATTGTTACAGAATAGACCCCATTGTCTGTACTGGCCGAATCCAGTCTAACCGGTCCGGTTTCACCGGCTAAGTTTGATGGGGCCGGGATATTGGGCAATCGGACCGGTAAACTCGATAATCTGACCGGTTAACCGGATAATCTGACTAGTTGACCGGATATCTGGACCGGTTAACCGGATAATCGTACCGGTTAACTGGATATCCGAACCGGTTATAATAATAGTAAAAATCCGGTTAAAACCGAAACCGGTCAAAATCAGTCGAACCGGTTAACCGTTTATCACGTCAGGAATTGACAGCCTTAGTTTCTAAAGTAGGCCATGGATAAATCACATATGTCAGAACATACAATTCTTCTTCTTTTTTAAATAATCGTTTGTATTTAACCCAGAGTCGCTCGTAGTTATCATGTCAGTCATGGCCTACTTTGAAAATATTTTTTGTGGATCACTCCTTACAAGCAAGTGTGTATTATTAATCTTTTTCTCAATAAACATGTTATCACTTTTTCTGATAGTGTCTTGTGATATTTTTTTAATTAATGTTATATTCTTTCAGAATATGTAAACGAGGAAGAAGGATACAAGAAACATATAGATACATGTGCACAATGGATCAGAGAGCACATCAAAGAGAAAGATTCAAATGTAATCCCACCTTTATAAAAACAGTACTTATAATTTTCTACTAAATAATAAAAAGAGCAGTTGTTGATAATTTCACAATAGAAATAGATTTAGACGATAGCATTACATATAAGCAGATAGGTTTTTATAAATTTATTCAACCAATAAGTTTTATATTGGTTTTAGGTTATCGCGGTTTAGCATCTTTGATGTCAAAATTGAACTAAATTTTAAATATTTAATACGAACTTACAAAAATTATTAAGTATAATAGCTATTTATATAACCAGTTACGAAATACCTTATTTTATGTAACGAGTGAATATTTAGAGGACGAGCAGAGCGACGTCCCGCAACATGAACGGGTTACACAAAACAGCATATTATAACGTGTTAGATTCAATATTTTTTCTAATTTTGACTCGATTATTATAAAATTGGGTTTTGGTAAAATATTACTAACCAATATTATTTCTTTTTTGCATTATTAGTTGCATAATATGCACAATTTCATTTATTTTATTGACAAATAAATTATTTATTTATTCTTAACAACTTGTACTATGTTTATTGCTTGTTAAAGTTATTTAGTTTTCACGAAAGTGGGATATTTTATCGTGTATTATGTTTTGATTATTTTGCGCTGATTTAGATGGAAAACAAGGACGAAAACTTTCAATAATAATGTTTGTATTGATTTTAAAACCAAAAGTTTTATTTTTATTTGTCTTCTTTTCGCAACTAGTGACATGATTTTTTTTAATTTTGACATAAAAATGACATTTTTTGTAATCGCAGCAAATGTCAAAATGATCTACTTCATCCACTGATCTGTATTATTTTACTGGATAGGATATAGGCTATATTTAACATACTAAAAAACCGTTCCACCAAGGAGACCGGAAGTGCAACAATGCTGGCCGATTTGGGCAAATTATGGTGGGTTCACAGAACTAAAATTTGGGATAATTTGACATACCTAACCTATAATTTGATTAGTTTTTCTTCTTATTCTTCTTCTATTCCTTTTGCGGGCGACGTCCTTCGGGAAAATTCACCCATGATTTGATTTTTTATGAAAGAAAATATAAAAATGGAAACGTGAAGCATATTGTGTCTTCAGGAATGAACGTTTATTGTTTATTTCATACTCTTTTTACTTTGTTTTCCACAATAAAAACATCTCATCGTAGCTTGTTGACACAATTAAATGACAAATGTGATGACAAATGTAAATAGAGGTTACGTTAAATAACATCCGGTCCGCCATATTATTTGCCCAAATCGGCCAATTTTTCGGAACGTTTTTTAGGTGGCTATATCCTATCCAGTAAAATAATACAGATCAGTGACTTCATCTACTAGTGTTGAACATTATGAAACTGGTTTTGAAGAATTCATTTTCACCAATTGCGAAAACAAATGAAATAAAAATAAACCTTTTTTTGGTTTTAAAATCAACAATAGGTATACATTATTATTGAAAGTTTATATCAAAGAAGGGCAGATTGACTCATAAAAATATAATTTGGTTAAACTTACAACTTAATAATAATGCTGTTTTGGTCCTTATTTTTCATTCTAAATCAGCAAAAAATAATACGACAAAATAATTCACTATCTTGAAATCTAAATAATTTTAACCCTGCTAAGTCGCTGAGAATAAGTTAATAGTATTTTCTATTTGTCAATAAAAAAGGAAGTTAATCATATCCAACTAACAATAAGAGAAAGTAGTAATATTGGCTGCCTAGATGTCAGTCATGTTTTACCAAAACACAATTTTATAAATAATCTAGTCAAAATTAGAAAAACTATTGTATGTAACACAAATGTCGTTTTATATAACTCGTTCATGTTGCGGGACCTCGTTATGCTCCTGCTCGTCCCGCAAATATTCACTCGTTACATAAAATAAGGCATTTCGCAACTGGTTTCATAAATAACTATTTCGTAACCAGTTTCATAATGTGCAACATTTATGTATATCATTTTGAGACTTGCTGCGATTGCAAAAAAATGTCACTATATATGTCAAAATTAGAAGAAGGAAAAACGTTTATTTGTCTCACATTGTCGAAATAATTTTTATTTTTGACAAAAAAACTTGGCTATAGGTACGTAGTTTAATATTACAATATAAGTATAATTTAAATTTTCTAAATAAAATAACAAAGTTAATATACGGGGAGAATTTAAAAACTTACAATCGCTTTATAATATTAAAAATGTATTAATATTTTTAAATATTTTCTCTAGTTTTTTTACTTGCTTACAAAGAATTAATATAGGTAGATAGGTACATACATTGCTGTAATAATTATATAAGTAACGCCATGTTACAAATCTAGATATAATTAATCAACAAGAAAATATTTTGACTGCCATTGATTTTGTGATTTTGACTAACTCTATACTATTTGTTAAATATCAACTGCTATAAAAAAATATTTCGTTTACTTCTAAACTTCCTACAACCTTAATTGGAATAATATAGCAAAGCATATTCCTTGATGAAAGTGTAAAAAACGCAAATATATGTTCAAATATACATCATTAAGACACAGACACAGAACAATTTGAAGATTCTCTGATCAAAAATAAAACGATCAAACCAGGGCCCCGTAAGGGCTACTGGCGCCTGTGTGCAAAAAAGGATATTGGATCATGTTTTTTTATTTATTTTTTTTGAAGGTAGGTAGGTAAGTGCTTGAAATAAAGCAAAAAACTGAACTATAGAAGTCATATTTATGTGTAGACTAAAATATCAAAATGAAACAAACAGAATAAAATCATAACAAAATAAATTGTTCACACCCATTTTAAAGTATTTACTTAACTAATGAGGTACAGACACGTTGTTTATAAATACTAGAAAATAACCCAAAACTAAAAATCACATTTTTTTAGGAACAAATAACAGAAATATTGCCTAATGTCTACATATACAGTGAGCATCATAAGTCTTACCCCCTATCTAACTCGTTACTGGAGGCTTGTTAGGAAAATCGCCGAGACACGTCGTTTTTCATTTGTACAATGTACATTTTTGTATGAATAGTTTACCCTTAATTTCATCTCTTACTGGAGGGGAGCAACCCTTTAGAAAAATTTAAATGGCATGGGGTAGTGAATGATAGCTCATTTGAAAGGGGGTTTTATTCTCTATTCAACCATGCAAAAAAAATTGAAATTTGCTTTATTAATTCTCGACTAATTATTGTTTCAGAATAACAAAAATTAACGTAGCGCAATCATCCTTAGAATTAAAATTCGGATCTGCATATCGGATTTGGTTCAGACGTAAATTAAGACTTTTTGCCATTATGCTTGGATATTAACTGCACGTTTTTATTTATGTTTTTGCATTGTTTTTGTTATTTTTAAACATTAATAAATCAACACGTAATGAAGCAAATTTTAAAAATTTTTGCACGGTTGAATAGAGAATAAAACCGCCTTTCAAATGAGCTATCACTCACTACCCCATGCTATTTAAATTTTTCGAAAGGGTTGCTCCCCTCCAGTAAGGGATGAAATTAAGGGTAAACTATTCATACACAAATGTACATCGTAGAAATCAAAAATCGACGTGTCTTGGCGATTTTCGTAACAAGACTCCAGTAATGAGTTAGATAGGGGGGGGGGAAAGACTTATGATGCTCACTGTATATATAAGTACTACTTTCTACTTATACTTAAATATTTTTAAAAAATATGCAGATGCTTCTGATAACAAATACCTAGGTAACTTCGTTATACAATCAAACATAGGCGCCGGAATTCAAAAATCGCTTTGGGTGCCCGGCTTCTATGCGGAAAATGGGGGCTATCCCCCCCACCCTCCACAACTCAAAGGCACCACCGGTTTTTTAAAAAGCTATTTTAAAGTTGATTTTATGAAAATTTTCTTAAAAAAAAAAGGTATTGTCAAATGGCAATTGCTGGATAGGCTGGACGCTCTCACCTAAAACGGGATATCTGGCAACCCTATATGCTCGGTGCAGCCACCACTGGTATTTTGAAGGTATTTTTACATAGATTATAACACCCAAGTTTTAAATCGCCACTGTCTTCCTAACCATTATCTTTTAACGATTTTTATTTTCTGTAAAAGCCTACCAGTTAATCGAGTAAATGCTAGAAATGCTGATTCTGGGCCTCCATGCACTAATAGAGGTTTTGTTCAAAATGCTATCGGACATTTTGAAGCATCTATGGGGTGATTTGATGACATTCATCAATTATCCGTTGTCACAGATTTTCCAGTGATGTTGGCTGGGTGGCATACATTTTAGTTTTTAAGTGGCCCCATAAAAAATCCAACGGGCTTAGACCCGGAGACTGTGGGGGCTACTCAATACTTCCTCTTCTTCCGATCCTGAAAACCTGGAAACGTTTGATCCAAATACTGACGAACAGTGGTGCACCGCCATGGTGGAATATTAAGTTGTTTGCTATGTACTAATCGTCATTTTCAATCAACTCTAGTAATGCTGGATAAATAGCGTTTTCTAATAATTCCAAATACATTTCTGCGGTTAAAGTTTCTGGTAAAAAAGGGACCCATTATACGGTTACCAAAAAATATAGCCCAAACATTCACTTTTTCCGGATGTTGCGTATGTATGTATGAAATATTCTGGAATTTGAATCGGACCAATAACGACAGTTGTGACGATTTACTGTACCATTTAGGAAAAAAGTGCATTGTATGAGACACACGTTGAAAAGAAATTGCTGATCATTTAATACCCGTTCAGTCATAATTTCACAAAATTGTAATCGTCTATCAAAATCGTCTTCATTAAGTTCTTTTACCAGATGTATTTTGTAGGAATAAAACTTTCAATATCTTCTGAATACTACGTCTCTTAATACCAGATGTTATTGCCAACTGTCTTGTACTCAATATGGGTTCATTAACAACGTCCTAAAATCGCCACCTCTGCAGCTTCATTTACTACAGAATTTTCCATTTCACGTTATTTGTTAGCTACTGACCCCGTTTTCCAAAATGT